GAAAATGCCTACGCAAAGTACAGTTTAATATTGCTTGAGGAATTTTAATAACGGTTGGTTCTCACTGTTCTGATGCTCATTCCTGGGAGCTTCTGGTGCTGCTCATTCTTGGAAATATGTTATTCACATGGTGGATGATCTCCCAGTGTGCGATTCAGGTCCGCAAGGCAGGTCAGCAGGTACAGCCTGCTTCCATTTTCCCAACATGTTTGACCATGGCAGCTTCTGTGCTTTCAAATAATCCATTCTATTTTGGTAGACACTTTCTCTCTTCTTTTTTTAACAGCACGGTTTCCATACAAGACTCACAATGAACTCACCATTGCCAAGTGGAGGGGAGTGGCGTGTTGTATAAATACATTTGTCCCAGCTCCGTCTTCCCCTGTACCAGGCTTTGTGATTGACTCTGTGATTTTGATTCTGTCCAACTTAACTGCCCTCCCCGCAGACCCAGCCCGGATTCCTTTGTTGCCCTAAATATTTTCTCAGAGATCTTTTATTAACTTTTTCTTTACTGCTCCAATTTTTTTCTCCCTCTCATCTACTTTAACATGTAGCTCCGTAACAATAGTGAGGAAGAAAAATGCATTCTCGTGGTCTTATCGGGTGAGATAACAACTGCATTTCCCTTTATTAACACAGAAAAAGAACTTTGAAACTTGGTCACTTTCTTTCCTGCCAGATGCTTGGAGAAGGGACACGTGGAAATGGTGGAAAAGAAGCAGCTTTTCCCTAATTAAGTCTTCCATTGTGAATGGTAACTGGGAGAAAGAACAAAATTTTTTCTTCTAATGAGTTAGTTGTGATATTTTAGGAAAACTTAGGGCAGAGATGGGAGGCTTCTTCATTTTCTTTTGTGATCAGGACTCATTTCTCTGACAGTCAGAGGGAGTGGTGTGCTAGTGTATGAGGCTGCTAGTTGTCTGCCACTTTCAGCTTGTCCCATCTGTGTTGGTAGTAAAACCCTCCTTTTTAGTTGGCCCCTGGTCACCTGGAATATAGACTCCATTTCCTTGCCTCCCTTACAGCGAGGCCTCACTGGATTGTAAGATGGTGATTAATTTATTGCAAGTGGAAATACCACATGTAGTTTCTTGGAAGTATCCCAAAGGAGGAAGTGTTCTTTTTTCTGTCTTCTGAGGGGGAATGCAGACATGATGGCAAAGATCAGGCAGCCATCCTGTGGCATGAGGTGGGAGCCACATATTGGGGATGGTTGAGCAGCAAGATACCAGGAACCTCTGGATCACCTGTATGTAAGTGAGAGACGGATCCCCATGTGTGCACCCTGGTTAGCTTGTGGCTTGTACTTGCATGATGGTGACCATAATCTTAACCAGTGCATCTGTGAGTCTTTTTTATCTGCTGTGGTAGGAGGGTAGCTCTTTGAGATATTTTTTTCCCCCATCTCAGACTGTGTACTTCAGAGAGAGAGAAATGCTTAATTGGTGGACAAGGAATCTTAACTCTTAAAATAAAAACATGCAAGATCTTCTGCAGTGTTTAAAATCTTAAATGTCCTATGAGAAGAGGCCATTTTGACTTTTGAAAACCACAAAAATTCTTTTCTCTTTCCCTATTGACTTGTGCTTCCCCTTCCCTAATGGTTCAGTCCCAAGGCCAGTGAGTAAGACAGAAAGAGAGAGGTGGTCAGGGTCCGGAGCACTGGTGGCCTAGAATGGGGGGGTGAGGACCCGAGTGGGGTGAGTTGAGCATCTGTGCAGGTTGGGGAGCCGGACTGCAAGGTTCCAGCCCAAGCAGGGCAAGGAGGGTGTTGCCGTGGACAGGCCGGTGAGCAGGGGAGTCTGAGCAGAGCGTGAAGGGGTCCGCAGGAGGGAGGAGTGTGGGGGAGATTGGTTACTGCATCGATTCTGAAGTTGGAGAGTTGAAAGGACTCCGCTTCCACAAAGCCTACTCACGGGGTCATTAAAGGCACAGGATCTGGCTTAGCAGGCGTAAGGAAGCCTGGGTGAGCCTCAGGGGGCCTCAGAAGCTCAGTGAGGCTATTCCCCAGAGCCGTTTCTTTATTGCTCGGGACATGTTGGCTCTCCACACGAGGAACCATCAAGACGTGTGAGGAATCTGAGTTTCAGGTTAGCCTGGGCAGACATGTCCAGCAGTGGCTCGCATGCCCCACTGATCACGGGCCCCATAGCCAGGTGACAGCCATCAATCTACACATCCCTAAACAGTTTCCTGGGGGTTTCTGGGGGTTTCCTGGGTGTCTTCGACTTTAAGCTGACTTCACACGTCGCTGGCCAGCCTTCCTCTGATCTTGACCAAGAATCCATACCCACCTTCCAGGGCCCCTGCGAACAAGCATAGAGAGGTGTCGGTCTGGCTGTAGGAGGACTCCTTCATGCGGCTTATATGTAGGATTATTGATACACAGTAAGTGGGGCAGAGGTGACGGAAGCCGGAGTTCTCACTGTTGGAGAAGGGAATCACGAATACAGAGAGGGAAGAAACTGGAGTGAGCGGGGTGATATTGTATTGGAGCTGGAGATGCTGCTGTGAACTCAGGGTTTTCGGTAATATCAGTATAGAGTGTGTGTGTGCTCAAGCTCTGTCCACTGAGAGGAGCTGAGAATACCGAGCCCCAAATAGCAGTGAGCACATCTGGTGCCCAGATTTTGTCTTATAAATACCAGTTTCCACAAAAAGGAACCAGAGCTCATTAGAGAAATGGTGGTTTCAGGGCTGTGGCAGAAAAAGGACAAGATGAGCCTGAGTATCCAGTGCCAGGAAGCGGCGAAGTGCCCAGGGAGCAGGGGGACCGGTCAAAAGGCTTGCAGCCAGCTCGGGTGGGCTCCCTCCGGCCCCTTCGGGCAGTTGGAACCCCAGCATAAGTGACAAGGAGACTGTAATGCACTGACCGCCGTAGGACACCACGGGCCATGCAGACAGAAAGAGAGAAACTGCAGTTTCTCAACAGCAGCAGTCTTGACATTTTGGACTGGATGGTCCTGCGGAGCCGAAACTCTGCTCTGCCGGACTCTCCTTCCAGAAGCACTGGGCTGTTTCTCACCTTGGAGATTCCTGCAGAGGAGTGAGGGGGCCGCCTTGTGCCTTGGGGGCATCCCAGGCCCCCTCCCCTCAGGACGCCTCAGCTTCGGACCCGCGCTGTCTCCTACAGACAGAGCGGGAGCCCCTGAGGAAAGTTGGGGTTTTAAGGCCGTGGGTGTTAGAGTCAAAAACGTTTCCAGACATTGCCAAATGGTCGCGTGAGGGTGGAGATGGCCTTGGGGGTCATGAGCCGCATGCGACATGGGGTATTAATAGGGTTCTGCAGTACCCCCCTTCCTCAGCCCCCTTCTTTCCAAATGCTTATTTTTTTTTTTTTTAAGATTTTTTAATTTATTTATTTGACAGCCAGAGATCACAAGCAGGCAGAGAGGCAGGCAGAGAGAGAGAGGGAAGCAGGCTCCCCGCTGAGCAGAGAGCCGATGTGGGACTCGATCCCAGGACGCTGAGATCATGACCTGAGCCGAAGGCAGCGGCTTAACCCACTGAGCCACCCAGGCGCCCCCCAAATGCTTGTTGATTACAAAGGGGAAAAGAAAGCACTTCGGTGGAGAAGCCTGGCAGACGTCTCCAGTCAAGGGAGGATGGTCATCAAGGTTGTGCCGCTCTGATAGGACACATCGAGGAGAACCCCGCGTTTCCTTGACCTTCCTGCCAACGAGGCTTCACCTCAGTCTACCCAGGAACAAAGGAGTTGACAAATCTCGTGGAGGTCCACATCTGGAGTAATTTGGCCTGCAGGCAGGCTTCACAGTGACCAAGTCACGGAAGGCAGCGGGAGAGAGAAATGCAGGCAAGACGTGGTCTGAGAGAACCCACAGCTGCACGCGACGGGATGGGAACCGGGTTGTTCACTTCCCAAGAGAAGTGATTGGGGCGTCCGGTGACACAGGGGTGAGGGCCGAGGACTAGGTGGTGATGACCTGTGACGGGAAGTGCTTGGCTTGGGTGGCAGGAGGCCGTCCTCCGCATACCCTGACTTTGTGGGCATCAGGCCGGCCGCACGCTCTCAAAGGGTTCGGGGCAGGAAGACAGGTCTCTACTGCATTTTGAATTTTCTATAACTTTGTGGTGGTTGGGGGCAAAAAGGGGAAAGAAACACATTCAGAAGCTGTGATCAGGAGTGATAACACTCATTTTCTTCCCAGCGTGCTGGGGTCCAACATGAAGGCCCTTCTTGCGAAGATTTTTTGTTGTCTTCTCAGGGAAAAATGTCCGCTGCATTAATAAGAGAACGTTCTGAGAGAAAGAATATTGGAAAAATGTCTAAAGCTGTTTACTAGATAAAATGTACATTTAAAACATAGTGTTTAAAGCATAGGCTGATCATCCTGCACAGTTTTAGAGCCCAAAATGGAAGGCAGGTCGCTTTTCTCTTGGACTTTTTTCTCTCTTTCTTTATAGTGGGAAAAACCGTATTTCCGGCAAGTCTGATCTTGTTCAGTTTAAAGCTCCCCGAGATTGTGTGGAACCGGTGAGCAAGCTGCCGGTGCTTTGAAAGAAACACCAACCAAAATAATCTGAGGGGAGAGTTTTTTCCTCTTTGTCCCTGGGAGCGTGTAGAAGAGTTTCTGGGCGGCCCGTGCACGCAGGGGAAGGGACGTGCTCCCTGCTCACCGGGACACGAGCCTTCTGTCCACGCAGGATGTTCCCTTTGGAACAGGCGAGGTTCCCTGCTTCTCCACGCCCGGGATGTGGAGATGGGTCGCTCAGGCGGGCGCAGAGCTAACTGGCCCTTGTTGTGTTTGATCCGGTGACATTAATCTCATTGGCCCTAACTCGCTGTGCTAATTGCATAACTTTTCTTAATTTGGAGTAACATTTCTCAGACAGTGTTGCATGAAACCTTGCTTCTGTTTTTGTGAGTGCTAACACTTGACCTTGTGGAAATCATTTAACGCTTTACCTTGTAGGAGAGTGGGGGTAATTTGGATACATGTACTGACTGTGTGATTTCTTTTTTTTTTCTTTTGCAGTCTCCTTATCCCACATCACACAGCTGGTCCTCAGCCACAACAAGCTAACAAGTGAGTTAACTTTACCGTTGGTTACTCGGTTTCTGACTCCTAGGTGATAACTGTGATACTGCTGATACTTTTGTTTCCTTTAAAAACGCTCAGGACAGATGTTACTTGGGGAAAACCTAAAATCTTTTTTGGTGACAAGTGCGATACACAAGCATCTTCTCCTGTATTATGTACTTTTGTTCTGTTACTTTTTTTTTTTTTTTAATTTTGCCCTGTTTTGAGGATTCTTGTGTAAACTGAAGGAAGAACATGACATTGCTTCTCAGGAAATGGTTCCTTTCAGGGCTGGTAAGTGACCTCAGCTGCCAGGCGATTGATGAGTGTTTTGTGGGGAAAAAAAAAAAAAAACAAACTTATTAAAAATATTAGAGTTCTTGGCTTTCTCCGTACTTCCTCCCCAAAAGGAGAATATTTAACTGTTGCTCCTTTTCTCTGATGGATGGGGGGATCCCCCCCCCACCAACAAAATTGTGTAAGTTATGTAAATTGGCATCGGCATTTTTCACATTTTTGAGTCTGGTTCCCAAGAAGAATTCTCTGGGGCCTGGGTGGTGTCATGGCTTGGTTCACCTACAGGAGACAGATAGTTATTTTTGTGAAAATATCTCATCTGAGTGATAATGGGCCATTTTATCCTTAGAGCGGTGACTTTAAAGATTTTAATGACAGGGAGCCACTCTCCTTTCTCATTCCTAGTTGACTGTCACTTCTTTGTGCTTGCCGTATTTCCTGCAGACTTGAATGATTTTCTAATCATGTGGCAAGAATTTGTTAGGGCTGAGTCCATTGAAACGGAGCTGAATGTCATGTTGAAGGATTTGTTGTGTGAATTTATGTGTATATGTGCATTATATACAGCTCGAGGCTATGTCACAGAGCTACTGATTACTGAGAATTAAGAGGGTGGTTAGGGCCCCTCGTGTGCCGAAAACAGGCAGATTTAGTTCATTTTTAGCAAATGGCACCTATTGGTAAAGCCAAGGCAGAGTGGCATGCTCCTCGTGTTTGAGTAATGATGGTCACAGAAGCTGAGAGTGAGGGCTCCGCGTCACATGACATCATTTTTGTAACAGGTAATATGCTGCCGGTTTCCTGGTTTTCACAGCAAAGGATCCTTTTGTCCACTGATACCTTATCCCAGCTCACAGGGGGTTTGCAGTTTGTCCTGAAAGGGGGACAGCAAGATTCCTGAATTCCCCAAGATTTTGGGAGCAGAAGTCCCCAAAGCTGTTGCACAGTTCATACAAATATTTAATTGCCAAGCTTCCTGTGGTTAGATTTGCATCATCAGCAGAGCGAAAAAAGTGTACATTTAAACAAGAAGCAAGACATGCTCCGTTCCTATTATATCATTAATTGATCTGTTCTTTTTAAAAAGACAAAACAAAAAACAAAACCTTCCACATTTTTCAGTAGTCGTTTATTTCTCTTTACATGACCACAAGGATAGAAATCTCAGGGCTCAGTGGATCCGTTTCTTTCTGCAGGCAAAGAGTACAAGATGAATTTAGAGAGGCACGAAAACGGAGTTAAATTATGTCTGCTACTAAAGAGGTTGGCTGCGAATGGATTCAAACTTCAAATTTCTTCCTTCCCTGTTTTGTTTTTTTTTTTTTCCTTTTTTCTTTTTCCATTTGAGACATTCTTGACCTAATCCAGTAAACTCTAATTAATCGTCTTGGTAAATTCTGTTTCAAGCCATTGTGAGTCGTGTCAGTGACACTCGATCTGTTCCACTAAGGTCAAATTAGCATCTTTTACTACTTTTCTGGCATTTAAATGAATGACTTCGCTATGGTTTTTCAAGTATTTATAGTAAATATGTCCATTTGACGGAAATATAAATATGCATTAAATGCAAGTGGCTGAGCACACCCTCCTGTCACTTTGTATGGTAATCAGTGTCTTTCACTTTCTGTGGTTTTTAATAGGGCCTGGCTGACAATGCTGCATTAAAACCAGTGGCACTCAGAAGTTAAACCCCTCAGCCCTTCTTTTGTCTTGCAGAAAGTACTTGTGTTTTCTCTTAGTCTGCCAGTTACACTGTTATTTGACATTACCGCTGGTGTGCTCACGAAATGAATGGCTAGCCTGCTCAGACTGGGACCTTGATTTGGGGACAACGGATTTGGGATCTGCTGAGCCATCCAGGTCCTGGGGGCAGCGAGTGGGCTTCTTTTCCCTGCGGGTGGTTTGGACGTGGACAGGTCCTCTCACCGTAGTACGAGGGAAGCCACACAAAGCCGGACGTGGCCCGGCAATCCTTCAATTCCCCCAAGATTCTGTGAACAGAAATCCTTAAAGCTTTCTATATTTGAGTTAATGAAAAATGTTTCCAGTTCGTCAAGCCAGTTGCTTAAATTAGGGGTTCATCGTTAATACAGCAGCACTATTTACATTTAAAGGGGGGTGGGGTGGGGATGGGGGCTGTGTGCATGGGCTTGGTTGGGAGCCTGGTGGGGGATCGCTCAGCCTGGAACAGCTTTCCTGGATGCATGGACGTGTGCCTCTCCCGGATGTATTTAGAAGGAAGGCAGAGCAGCAGGCCAGTCTTTTCCTTCTTCCCTTTTGCTCCAACTGGGCAGGTGCTAGCCGGCAAGCTAGCTGAGGAGGAGTGTTTTCGAAGTAAAGATGGGGTTCTTCCACCAGGCTGTCCCCTCCGAAACACCATTCGCCCTGCGGTTTGACTGACCAGCAGAACCTGCCGCATCTGCCCCCCGCTCCTCCAGCACCCCCTCCCCAGATGCTGCGGACGGATTGGTCAGTCCCTCTCCTCATGGCCAGCCCTGCCTCTGCACCTGTGCTCCCTTGCCTCCTCCCTTCCACCCACACCACCTCGCCCCCTTCTCCTGTGCTCCAGGCTCCCCTGGCTGCCCTGGCCAATGGGAAATGGTTCTTCCCCCAAACTCCTATTGTTCATAGACCCTTAAGACCAGTGCAGCACGTCCTTGTCCTCCTGATGCTTTGTTTACTCACTCTCTCCAGATCTTAAGCTTTCTTGAAAGTGGGAACCTTGTATTCTTTTTCCTTAACACCTATCACTGAGCACCTAGTGGTTTCCCTGGAAATGTCTACAGAAAGCAGTAATGATTGATAGAAGGGAGCAGTAGATGGCAGGGAGGTCATGGGAGGAAACAGCTGGCCTGAGATGAAGCCATCTTTGTAGAAACTGGACCTACTTTCTTGGGATTAACTGGTATAGCGGCCTGAGTAGATGCGGCCACAACACACTTCTGTTTCCTACTCAGGGTCTCATGTCACACATGCCGGACCGAGTGCTCATACCCTGTGTCCTGGGAATGGATGTCCATGTCTTGTTCTTCATCACAGAGACCCTTTCATAGTGAGGGTGATGTACTGGGATGGCACCCCTCGGGTACATCTCAGCATCCACAGATGGGGACAGCTCTTGTCAGGATGACCCATGGATGCTCCTTCCGCCCAGAGACCCTGATGGCTCGGCCGAGTGTCACTTCTCCATAAACCCTTCTTTTGTTCTTAGAGCTGTGACAGCTTCTGCGCCTGTTACTCTACTTCAAGCCAGATTTATATATTTAAGATCCCAATTATTTACTGTTTACTTCATGCAATTAATTGCATTATAATGTCCTGGAGCTCAGGAGCCCTGGCTGAAGCGCTTCTGTATCCCACACCTCTGAAAGTACAAAGAGCATGTGGAACATCACCTTGGCCCTCGTTAATACAGGTTGATTAATGGATTGGCGGGTGATGAGTTGGGATAAGTCAGAGCCAGACAGAGATGACCTGCCCAGGGCCTTCAGTGTTTTGAAAGACGGGAACGTAACAGTGATTTCAAAGACTCTTTTCCTGTGTGTCTGCCCCCCCCTGCTCCAATGCTTGTCTTTGATTACTCTGCCTTTTAAGCCAGTGTTTGCTGAGTCTTTTCAGTTGGCCCCATAAGCTCATACCTGGTTTTTATGGTGGTTTGGGAGTGTTAGGCTTTGTAAATGTTTTCTTACTTGTTTTCAGTCTTTGAGACTTTCATTTTAAGACTGTCATTTTAAGGCTTGTCCACTAGAGGTCACTGTTGAGATACGTATTTTTTTCCCTGGGTCTTTTGGCTGAGTGATGAAAAACCAAATTTGTGTTATCAGATTAAATTTTTTGCAGGCTATTCTGCTGTGTCCAGTAGGATATGTTGCTGTTGCTATTTACATTGTGCAGTTTGCCATGATGAAGGTATATCCCTCTATAAGGGTATATATTGTTTTTCTCTTTTGCCCTATAATTATCGTTCTGTCTCACATGCCAGTTTTTAGTGTATTACTACTTCTTTCTCAGATTAGGAAGTTTACTTCTTTACGCTGGAAGAATTTTATTGCCCTCTGTGGTATTTTGTATCGGGGATATGTAAGATTTTATTCCTGTGGAAGAAAGCTGAAAATAAGTATGCGTGTAACCAGATTTTAATTAAAAAATAACCATGTAAAACTCAGGGAAATTGTGTGAGGACTTATATGGATTCTTCTCCTAAATGTCACTGTTGGGGGAAGGATGCTCTGCCTTATGAAATGAATTACACTCTGAGTTGGTGGGCAAAACAGTTTCTGAGCATAATTTTTTAATGTGAAGCTTTTCTTAATTTTAAAAACAATTTTATTTTTACAGCCAAACCCACATACAGAGATTGCTAGCACCTTGAAGATGATAGTCATGTTTTTCATTTTGTGACCCATGCATTTTAGGATTAAGCATTCATCATTTTGTGCAAAAAATATGAAGGATATCATCACGCTCTGTGTGAATGTTGCACAGCCTGCTCTGTTTAAACCTTTCATAAGTGTGGGTTTCTGGGTGTCATTGTTCAGTTTTATACTTTGAACTGTTCCATAAAACCTTTTCTTGAGGTTTTAGGAGTTTTGCCTGCAGTTTGAGGCCTTAATGTGACCATATCTTGTCATTTAATGCATCGGAAATGGCTAGTAAGGCAGTAAACCCAAGGTTTATGGCAAAACGTGTTTTTTTTTTTTTTTTTTTAA